CTTCTTCTTCAGTTTTTCTTCTTTGTTTTTCTGAAGAAGAATAGTCAACTATTCGAAAGCGCTCGAGTTTTGGATCTTATTTTAAGTTTGTTAGATGTGTTGACAGTTCTGAAATGGTAAAATTCTTCTTACCCAAAGCTATCTTGACCTTGATTGACCTTTAAGCATTGCTAAAATGTTCAACAGTGCACCAGTCTATTATTCCCCTTCGTTTTTGCACCATTGCAGCAACATGTGCTGATCTTGTGACTAGCCTCCACCAATCATACTGTGTCATCTATACATAGCACAGGTAGCTTCCTCTACCATTGCAGCACACTTTATCGATTGACATTCTAGTGTATAGACGTGTGTTTTAACTCATTCTCCATGTGACTACAAAATTTGGATTGTATTGATCGTATATTAATATCAATTTTAACTTCAAGTTTCGAAATCTTGTGTTTGATTTCCATTGTTTCTCTACTCGGTTGGTTTTGAAATGTTTTTGTTTTCCAAATTCTACTTTGTTCATACGAATTCGAGATTTAATATGGCGGATGATAGAATTTTTACCATAAGTATACAATAGTTCTGACACTAGTCTCCACCTCTCCGGGTGGACGATTTCTGCTGGGGAAGTACAGGCTTTAGTTCGCATGGAGTTTGTGTCTTACTTTCTGCTGGCAATTTTTTCCCTTTCACGTTATGATTTTTGTACAGAACTACTGTATGGAAAGTTTTCTTTCTATGGCACTTTGCACCTGGTACTGTGCCTCCTCATAATCTGCTGGGTTAGGTCTTGTTCTTTTTCCCAGGAGATCTGTGGGTAATTTTCCAGCGTGTATTTTTCACTCCCTGTGAGCTGATTTGGATGGATCTAATTTCCATGCTCAATAATTTAGGTCATTCATGTCTTCTCTGCTCTGTGTTGGGTAAGCTAGATTTTCATACTTGTTTTTTTCTTTACTACTAGTCACGTCTAATTGTGGAGTGGTTTTGAGTCAAACTTTGTTATTGTTCACTGGCTGCCTTTTTATTTTAATGTTATTTAGGATAGGTTTCATTTTAGTGTCCTTTGTCTTATTGATTCTTTGAGTGGCCTTATAAGTTTGATATTTAAGGGTCGTTTATCTTCTCAGCCCATTTAGTGGTTTTGTACTTTAGGTGTTACTTATTGTTTTATGTTTTAGATCGAATTTCATAGTTTTGTATATTTGTTCTTTTTATGTACTTTATAGATGCTACACATTTCTCCAATTTGTTAGTTCATTAGTAATGAGTACTATCTTTAGTTCTTTAGCTTATGTGTCTTTTTGGCTACACTTCGTGACAGTTCCGTTGTTTATATGGGTTCTCTTTGAGGGTTTCTGGCTTCATTTTCGTTCCCTCTCTCTCCACGTCCCAGATTTCCTCCTCAGGATCATACCTTGTCCATCTGTCTTGCCAATGTGTTCGAGTCTTACTATACAAAGGAGCTATCGAACAGGTGGTGCCCACTCAACCAGGATTTTACTCCCCTCTTTGTTTTGTCTCCAAATACACGGAAGCTAGGAGTCCCATCATCGATCTGTCCTGGCTGTATACTTATCTGGCGATGCCTCACTTCACTATGGAGTACTATCTCTCATTTTGGTTGGTGTTTGCCCCAGTGTCATGTAATTTTTTTCTTCGGTTCTTCTACGAGTGTTCTGCCTTTCAGTTCTGGGTGTTATCGTTCTGTCTTTCTTTAGCTCCGTATGTGTTCTGTCGAGTGTTTCACTCTTTTGCATGTTATTTTCACTAGCTAGGTCTTAGGATCCACCATTTCTTGGATGACTGGTTTCTGTTTGCTTCTTCCCATGCCCAGTCAGTTACTCACACCTGTTTCCTTCTTCTCAAAGATGCTTGGGTGAGGTTTTTTATTCAGTTGGAAAAGTCCTTTACTAACCTCTTGCAATATCTTATTCATTTGGGGGTTCTCTTCACTTCCTGTTTTGGTCTAGCCCAGCCTTCTCCTCTTTGGCTCCAGTATATGGAGTGGGCAGTTACATTAGTCCTACCTTCTCCTTCTCCCTCTGAACATGAGGTTCTATCTCTGTTGGGGATGTGGGCTTCCTTGGAAGGTCTCATTCTATTGAGTCGGGTGAATGTGCATTCCCTTCATTGGATGCTTCTTTACTAGTGGAACTTCTCCAATGATCCTTTGGACCATCCTGAGATCAGGGCCAACTTTGCTTGGTTACCTTAACAGGGACTTCACCATGGTGGGGTTTCCCATTCCTCCGCTTTGTCCCACATATCATCTGTTTACAGATGCTTCCTTGGTGGGTTGGGGAGGTTTTCCTTGATTCCCCAGAGTTTTGGGGTTGGTGGTCAGTCGAGGAGGCTCCCCTCCATATCCACATTTTGGAACCCATGGAGGTTCATCAGGCTCTGTATCATCTCCTCCCATTCCTGTGGGGGAGGGTGATTATGATTCATTCTGAAAATTCCACTGTTGTCAACTTATAATCAAGCCAGGGGTGGACCAAGTCCAAATCTCTGTCTTTTCAGATCATGATATGATGGTTCTGGTGTGTCATTTTTCTAGAGTTATGAATCTTGTGGCCGATCTCTTATCATATCCCATCCAGGTTCTACACAGAGTGGTCTCTTCATCCACAGGTATTTCTGTGAGTGTATTCTCAACATGCAACACTGTATATATGTATGTGGTTCCCACTCATTGGAATGCCAAACTTCCTTCCTTTTTTTGGTCTACAGTTCCTCACTCCTTGGCTCTGGGGATGGATGCTTTCAGTCAAGATTGGAGGGGTCTTCACCTGTTTGTCTGTCTTCCTATCTGACTCCTCTTCCGAGTCTTTTCCCTCATCCAGACCACTCCTTGTTGTGTTCTGCTGGTTGCTTCGTATTGGCCAGCTCAGATGTGGTTCCCTCTGCTCTGGCCCTTACTGGAGCAAGAGACTCTACCCTGTCCTATTAGCACCTCCGACAACAGTGATATGACGTTATTCATGTCATTGTCACCACATTTTATCTTTCTGTGTGAATTTTATCTCATCCCATGCCTCAGCTCAGGGACTCACCCCTCGTGTACCATCTTTCTTTGCTTGTTCCATTTGTACTTCCTCCTTGTCTATGTACCAGAGGCATTGGTTTTGCTTCTGACTTTGGTTTATTAACCATGGCTTCTGACCATCCTGTACTTTAGATCCTCACCTGTCCCAGTTCTTCGTCTGGTATTTTTTATCAGGGTTTGTCTGTTTCTACTGTTGCTCTTTATACAACTGCCCTGTCAAACACCTTCCATTCTCCCACTTCCTGAAAATCTTCTCTTCCCTAGTTTTTCCCCCTCCTTTTCCTTTCCTTTCGTCTGGTCCATCTGCCACATTCCTTTGTTTTGCCAGAGAATGTTGTTCTTCATGCCCTGTCTGGTTCTTCCTTTGCTCCCATTGCAATTTGTTCCTTGTACTATTTTTACCTTACGACCTAATCCCCCCCCCTCCTGGCATGTGGTCATCATCATTCCAATATTTATGGCATCCTTTACCATTCCTCGCATGTTATCCGCTATCGGAATTGGGCCTTTCTTCCTGGGACATTGACTGCCTGGGAAGGTCGTTTTGCCTTTTCTCCTATTTCCTTACCTCCCTTTTCCCACCTATATTCCTGTTCAGATCCAGATCATCTGCTTTGTCCAGTTTATTCCCTGCTGTGTTATTTGGCTCATAATGCCTCCTTTCGTGGTTTTGGTTCCTGTCTAATTGTTCCATGGAATTCCTGTGTTTCCCATGATCTTTTACCTATTATTCTCACTTGTTTGAGTATGTACACTCATACAACGTGCATATTATGATGTGTATGTGGCAGGTCGCTGTCTACATACTATTTGTTTACCCAATATTTGTTATCTCACTGTGTCTTTAGCTGCTCAAAACTGCCATTTTGTTTAAAGGTATGTGGACAACTCCCAACTCTTCCTCGGGCAACTCTTCCTGTGGTGAATCTACACACGTCTTTTCACCTTTGAGTGGAGTAAGTCTTAATAATATTATTTTTTATCTTATTTCAAATGTACCCACTCTGTGAGAAGCTGGCTATCATCTTTATACTTCATATTATACATTATCATAATATTCTCAGTCCAAGGCGCTTCTCCCAGATGTTTTTTTGCTTGGGGTGACTGCACCTGTTGATCATGACATACACTATTTATACACTTTCATTGTAGTCCTTTAGTCTTGGATGTATCATGAATGCTATGCCTTTTGCATTTGTGTTTTCTTCTGTTTTTTCGACCTCATAAATCCATATGCCTCTCATTAGTTCACTGAGTCCTTCTCCTTTGCATTTCATTTTGCTCAGTCCCAAAATGTCCCAAGAGATATTTCTTATCTCCTCAGTCAGTCTATTTAAATCATCTTCAACTCTGATTGTTCTTGTGTTATATGTACATAAGATGATTTTGATGGTACTACTTTTCGCTCTTTCGGCCTTACAACTCACTTTTGGGTTTGATTGTAATGCGTCATTGAGAAGCATTATGACCTTCCTTTTGTTTCTTCATTTCATTCTTTGATGGGAATTTGGCCTACCATCAATATGCTGGCCAGGCATGTTGTTGAAGGGTTTCTTCGTAGAGATGTCCTTTCTGTAGCCTTCTGACTTACTGGTACTTACCTTCTATCACCTACTCCACACTGAT